ATTGAGAAATATTGTACAATCTCATAAGTTGCACAGGTAATTCTCGGTTAACAATGGCAGTGGGGACTGGAATTGCCATCAATAAATGGCACAGGCCTAAAGTACAACAACATGCCCATGTTACTTAGTGCCAGCAATTCCAGCAGTCCCAGTTGGCATCATTAAGTGAGGACTTCGTGACCACAACTTCCAACCTCCTGTTGGCTTCCCAATTGATTTTGCCTGTGGGAAGTCAGCAGGGAAGATGACAAATGGCTATCACATGGCTGTGGGATGCTGTGATGGCCAGAATTCTGAGGACCAGTCATAACTTATCATTTGTTCAGCCCCATCCTAATTTTGAATGGTTGCTTGAACAAATGATCATTAAACAAGGACCATCTGTGGGGTCCTTGGTGCTCTCTGAGCTTGGTTGTTTTCTTGCCAATGTAGCACTGATGATGTTACCCAGTTTGGTAATGAAATGTCTGCAAGAAAACAACCAAGCTCAGAGCACCAAGGACCCCTCATTTCAACCCTGATCTACAAGGACCATTTGTGTTTGTCTTTTTCATCACATTCTTCTGAGGTGAATTCTTCGATCAATAGTATGGAAAAAGAAATGCCTCTTTTCCTTTGCTTTATTTTGGATGATGGGCAAGAGGTCTAATGTACAAAATCTCACTTCACCAAGCAGCAAGATACATTCCAAATTATTACCTGAGGATTGCAGCATAATTTGTAATAAACTCTGTTCTAACTAAGGATGCATTATCTTAATTTTCAACACTTAATTTTTTTTTCAAAGCACTTGGGCAGGAAAAACAAAAGCATATCACAAAAAACAAAACCAATCATATGTGATTGCCAGGCAAGGAAGAGAGATAATTAAATATCTTTATATAAAAAGTGAAAGCACTTTTTCTGCCTCCTAAAGCTTGCTTCCCAGAATGGATAAGCAATACATTTACAAGATTATGTAACTATATTACAGCCTGTATACCGTCAATTACTTCTGGATGAAAAAAATGATTTTAAGTGTTAAAATATCAATAGGCAAGAAACATTTCCCAGGATTAAAGTGGTACATAAAGCAAAGATTGGAGAAATAGATTGACTGTAGACTGGCAGAGTATCTGATGAAATGTAGCAAGGGGAAATAGGATTGATCACAATTTATAGGACAGAGATGAGTAAGCCAGAGATAGGAAGGCTTGAAATTAGAAAGACAGGTGGGATGTTTTCTTCCATTGAGTTGGCAAGTATAAGGAACATCATCCTGTGGCCATTATGAATGGCACTTGACTGCTGTTCCAACACCACTATTTTCCAAAGCCATAAGAAACTGGCCAAACCTCTACTTCAAATCATCTGTTGTTTTCTCATTTGAACATCAGTCTCAAGTTAATTAACACTTAAAAGAGAAAGTTGTGGCTAATCCATAGTGCTTGGGTCTAAATCTTTGGCATGGTTATTACACCTCTTTCCAGAAGAGTGTCATTAAATTTCCTCAGGCTTTATTTTTGTTTTTTGTATCTGAGGTGTGATATATTCATTTCCTGTAGATCAATGAACAATCAATCCACTGACTGGATATTCTCAGGAGATACAAATCATATTCTACAGTGTATTTTTGGCCAGTCCCTACAGGCATCTTAATCAGTCACTTAATGATGTCGTGGCAAGAAATGTAGGTTTTAAAAGATTAACATAAATATCTGTTAAACAAAATAATCAATACTAACATCAGATTCCAGTTCTCCTTTTAGTCTTCATTGATCAATCTTCTGTTTTTCACATTACTGCAATATAATTCTGCCAAGATAGAACTGGTTCCACAATTATGATGTGTTCCTTGTGTAACAAATGGAATACTAGAATCTCATGACCTCAGAGCAGTTGTTATTAATAGCATGGTAAGATTCACAATAGAATCACTTGAGACCTATTTTAATTTAGCTTCAGTTTTCAGAGTCTGTCTTATAGATGAATTGTTGTGAAGAAAAGAAGAAATATATGTACTTTTAAAAAAATCTTTAGAATACATTTTGATTTTGTCAACAAAAGCAATTTTTGGTCAGCTTGATTAGAACGGTGGTGAAGGACAAAACTTCCACTTTTGGCCGTGTTCTAGAGTATGACACCAAGACATTAATTCTTGTTTGTTTGTTTACAAATAAAACGGTGACCATAACGAACACACTTTCCTCCTGAACATATCCAATACACTTTCCTCTCCTATTTTCCCCACAACAATCCTGTTGGTGGGTTGAACTGAGAGAGTGACTGGCCTAAGGTCATCCAGCTGGCTTTCATGGCTAAGGCAGGACTTGAACTTATGGTCTCCTGCTTTCTAGCCTGGTACCTTAATCACCCACCTTACTTTGGTGGGTGCTGTTTTCTCCCACAGCTCTAAGTATCAAATCAAATTATTATGGATCATGACCAGAGCTTTAAATATCTACATTAAATTGTCATGCAGAGATTTGCAACACCTTGCATTCCATATACAGTGGATATGTTTTATTTTTATTTTCTCTTCTTATTTTTTTGTATTCCTATGCCATGAGTTCTGAAAGTGGCTAACTCTCTAAATGGCTAGCAATCAAAAAATTTATAAAAAGAAAACAAACCTACCTCCCACCCAAAAATAGCAAGCTAACCAAGACACAGGAAAATATACAAAGTCATGTGTTTGGCCGATGTATCCCAACATTTCATACCATGCCTTCCTCTTGGGCTAGATGGAAAAACCAAGTCTTAATTGCTCTCCTGAAATTCAGAAGGAGATAGCATAAGGGCAGCTGACTATCCAGGTATAGCCATCTTAGTGTTTCTTCTTGGTCACTACTGTGTAAGAAATGAAGACATCTCAAGTTGACAGCTATGGTTGCACTTAAAATATTGATAGCCTTATTATTCCCAACATTTCCTTCCTCAGATTACAGAGCAGAATACAAGTTCTCTACCTCTACTTTAATAGCCATCTCAGAATGATTTAAAAACCACAGGCTAAGGCTTCTCCTGTCCCAGTATACTCCCTGGGCAATTGGAATACAATCATAGTTCTTAACGTACTTGCCCTCGTATCAGGTGGAAAAGCACTGATTGTTGGAGAGAGACTGGCAGACCCAGGGGAGCAGAGAATTATAGTCTAGAACAGAGTTTCCCAACCTTTTCGGCTTTGCAGACCGGTATGTGTGTGTGCTCGTCGCTCATGTAAAGGCAGTGTGCACATGCAATCACCTGATACTCGCACAAGAGATGCACACACTCACCTGCCACTTCCACAGCCCAGTTCTGAACTTCTCAAGGCCTAGTAGTGCGCCATAGCCTGGGGGTTGGGGGACCCTGGTCTAGAATCCTTGTACAAGCACAAGATGGTGAAGTCCAACCCCACCTTGAATGCCACTAAACCTTATCTAGTTTTACCCAGGTGCAAACAACAGTTGGAGGAGATTCCTGCATTTAGGCATGAGTAATGTCAGCTAATTGAATTCTTCACGTGCAGACCTGGATGTTCCCACCTGACACTGATAGATGTAATAGTATGTGTAGATATCATTGGAGATGAGGGAAAGAGATGCTGCATAGGAAATGATCAGACAATGGATTAATGGTCAGAGGAAGAAGCAGGAAACACTTTTGACCAGGTGGTTAAAAGTGGCAGGGGTAATTTTGTACTTTCAGATTTGCAAGATTTAGCTGATCTAGTCATTTCCTGTCTTGTTTGCCTGGGAAGGCTGAAAATAGCTCAATTTACAACATTTTAGAATCAAACTTTTAGGTCATATATCATATAGAAAGGAGATTCTATGGGATCACCTTGACAAACCTCTATTTGGTTTATTACAATCCTGTATAAAGATCATTGATTTTATCTTTCAAAACTTCAGTTATCTTACTCCCTGCTAGTCATAGTTGTACCATAATTTCCCCACCACCACTTATTCTAATGTTTAATAGAGCCTTAAATGTTATCTAAGATAAGTGCAAGTCCATCCCTTTAAGATAAAATGCAAGTCTTTTTGATGTGGCGGTCCCTGTGTCATGAAATTGTCTAAGGAATTCAATATTCATAATATTCATAAGACATCATCACAATAGTATATGCTGTTTTATCTGAATCTATTCTTGAGGAGCAATGACTTTTTATCAGATTTTGTATTGGTTAATGCCTTATCGACAGTGTAACAGGCAGAACAAAGAGTCTTTAAGAGTGTTTCAGATTCAAGTGGTTTTAGTGTACTCAATAAATGTATTTTCTTAAGTGAATCAATGAAGAAATTGAATTTATTGAATAAGGATTCTTCTATTCTATTCTATTCTATTCTATTCTATTCTATTCTATTCTATTCTATTCTATTCTATTCTATTCTATTCTCTGGCATTACCATGCACATAGCATTCTTAGTGTTTCTACGTTTTCAGAAAGACGTGATGGAGGCAGCTTCTTCTATGTGTTCTCTTTTGTCATTCTTTTTCTTGTACTATAGAATATAGAAAACACCAGGGCTTTTTTTCTCATAGAACGCCCAGAACAGAGTTCTGGCACCTTTTTTGGATGAAACCTTGTAGGGTAGGCAAGGTGGGTTGTATGACGTGTGTGAGTTCCAGCACCTTTTTTTTTTTTTTTTAGAAAAAAAGCACTGGGAAACACACATCTATTTGTAGAGCCATTTCTATTCATAGGAGAAATTAATCCAGCTATAAAGGCCACACATGATGAAATGGTTCAGGTAAACAGTGCTAGTTTTATTTTTAGCAAAACAATACAAACAGTCCATCTTGTATGGTTGCTATGTAGTTTTCATTTTTATGAGATCGTACTTTTTGATCATGCTTTTTTAAGGCGTTTTCCCCCTGTCAGAGTGGCCCTTACAATTATAAAATCTTAAAATCCCTTTTTTTAAAACATAAGCAACTAAGGGGATTCCCGTAATCCATCATTTAATTCAATCTTCATCGTTTGTCATTTATATAGACATTACACGGAAATACCCTTTCTTTTTCAAAGTATTCTACAGAAATATAGAAAAAGTAAAGACTACAGGTTTAAGGAAACACTTGTTGATATCGATTGACCACAGACCTCGTAGACACGAAAGAAACAGTAAGTTAGCTCTCTCAAGCAACTTATACATAGGTTCTGCGGTCTTCTGTCTTTGCCGATTTCCAACAAAGAAATAGACCAAAGGATTGATGCTGGTCTTGATGGAGTCAAACAGCAGCGAGAGGTGAAATAGACTTGGTTCACGAAGAGTGGTAACCCAGCTGCTTACAAGACCAAGAGTTTGAAATGTAACAATACAAATAAAACAAAGAGCAACCATGATTATGAGGGTGATATCAAGTCTCGGTTCAGTCCTTGGCTTTGCTCTTTTCTGCATTCTGATAAAAAGAGACAAAGCAGAAAAGGACATGATGGGGAAAAAAAACATAATCTGAGCAATAGATTCAAATAGTAATACCCCATCACATAAAGGATTGCCTGAATAGAGGGATGAAAGCAATTTTGGGTAGCAGATGACATATAATAACAGGGCCACTAGGAAAGACCAGACCCATATTATGCAGCATATATTTGTTGTGAAATGCTTTGGACGGTGATGTTGATAATAGAGTGGGAAAGAGACCATGAAATACCTTTCAACACACATAACTGTTAGTAAACAAATGCTGGCATTGCTTGACAATGAATAAATATTCTCCATTGCACGTGAAAAATAATAACTGATATAAAGTGATGTCAGAAATACAATAAACACCATAAGGAAGTAAGCAGCCACAATAAAATCAGCTATTAACAAATTGAGAACATAAACTATGAATGTTGTCTTCTTCGCCTTGCTGCAGAGAAGCCAAAAGACAGTTGCGTTCCCAATTAATCCCCAGAAACAGATTGGAATGGATAAAGCTGCCACCATTTCCAGGAAAAATCCTTTGCTGCCTATCTGTGGCCAATTATCTAGCTGTGTGTTATTTTTTTTCATTGTAATAATGTGGGAAGGCACGGTAGTTGCTTCTGTCATGTTGACATGGCCAGTGTTCAATAATTCTTCTCAATCTGTCAAAATTAAACACAATTCTCATTATTAAGCCACCGACATATTTTACAGAAGTAAGAAACATTCAAAAGTATCCCTTGTCTGGCAATAATACTATCATTGTGTTTCTTTCACACAGATTTATTGTAAGATAAGTGCTAACTGGAATGCATGCTGACATAGTCTGTTTTTTGGGAGTCAGAAAATAGGTTTATGTTAAGATTTTAATAAGCCCTAGGGTGCTATTCTGTCTTCTGGAAATGTCCTTTGGCTTATCTAGTATAACACTATTAATAGCATAATGATTTCACTGGAAATGCTACACTGGTGTTGTCCTTTGTCAAGCCTGTTTTGCCAAAACCTGCTCCCAATAGTGTGCAGAATGCTACAAACATACATTTTTATGCATTTTGGTCACCAGCCCATTCTGGACAGATTTAGTGATAACTGAATCTCCACGCCCATTTCCTATCAATTATTAATTTCTTTTTAAAGACAGGAGATGCTAACATCTTTAAAATATTACCTCATTAATTTCTGTTATTCCCAACTAACATTTCAAGATGTGAGACCCAATTAATGTTCAGTTAAAGGGAATCTTGCACAAAAAACATCCCTTTGGGACACCGCATTACTCAGGGCAAGCATTTAGGCTGAAAAATCAACTGTACTCAGGAAACTAACGTCTATAGGGGAGTGTTTTATCTAGACAGCATACTAAAAAGCAGAGACATCACCCTGCCAACAAAAGTGCGTATAGTCAAGGCCATGGTTTTCCCAGTTGCAATGTATGGCTGTGAAAGTTGGACCATAA